CAAATCCTTGTCAAAGGATTTTAAATGGACACCCAACTCAGTTCTCTCGGTTTAATTCCCATCCTCCAGGGTGGGCAGCCACTTTTTGGGCAGGCTCCTCTCTCATTCTGAGGGATGATTAGCACATCTCGAAAATCTCAGGACAGAGAGAAGCACAGACCCATAGAATGTCCCAGGTGCAAAGGGCCCTAGAGATGATCCAGTCCGTGCCATTGTACACAGGACAAAACCAGGACTCAGAGAGGGCTAGCGATGGGCCTGATGTTACACTGCTAGCAGGCTGAGGCTGGAAGCAGGAGTCAACTTGGGCAGGGCTCTGAGGAGTTTCCCAGAGTCCTAGGGGAAGTCCTCACTTCCCAGGAGAGACCAGCTCATGCTTTCCCTCCCAAGCACGGCTATGAAACCTACCTCCATCTCTAGGCAGACCCGGGTCTCACTGCTGCTCTATCTCAGGGCTCCAAGATCCGATGGGAGCAGGCTGGCACTATATAGCCTGTGACCCTGACATCCCAAAGGGGCCCAAGGACTGTGTGCAATCAAAATCAACTCTAGAGATTTTAAGCCAACCGTTCCTTGCTGAAAGGACCTGTTTGACTGAGGTCAAGGCCCTCTAGGGGCTCTGCTGTCTAGGTGTTTGAGAGCTCATTTCAGAGCCCAAGGCTCTGCCCTGACATGCTGAGAGGGAGGGGAAACAGCCTCCAGGCATGGAGAAGGAGCTGCTGTGTGGGTAGGTGGAGGGGGGTAGGCTGATCACCCTGGTTGCCTGCCCCCTGCCTTGCCTGGAGGGCCTCAGCCTTCCACTTCCGGTTCAACACCTGGGCCTGGGGCTGGGGGTTGCAGAGCTGCCCAGAAGGCAGGGGGGTGGGGGGGAGGTTACTCTCCAGAGCTTTTCCTTGGCTTCTGGGCGGGGCAGGGGGAAAGGGGGAAGGAAGGCGGGTGACAGCTGGCTCCTAGGGCTTCCTGGTCTCCATCTGACTTCCCCGCTGCATTCCTTGGCAGGCAGGACTGAAATGCTTGTCATGGAGATGCCGCTTGGTGCATGCCAAGACTCCCTCAGCTCCCGGCCCTTGCTGCTTCAATTCCTAGGAGCACCTCGGCAAAGCCCAACTGTGATGTTTTCTTAGGAGAGGGATGGACACCTGGTTCTCATCTCTTTTGTCCTCTGAGGCCTCCGGCACCAGCCGTTCCTTTGTCCATCTCGGGAGCCTGAGGCTACAGCCGATGAGGCTCTCAAGAGGACAGCTGGGGCTTCAGCTGAGCGCCCAGGCAAAGGTGTCCAGGGAGGCTGATGCCGCTGTCCCTTGGGGCTGCCACTTCTAAGTTAAGTGCTGTCCCTTATACAAAGATGCAGAGGACTTTTTCTATCTTCTCCTCCTCAGAGTTCCTCCTCTGGAGTTCTCACCAGACGGCTTCGGCCACTACCCGAAAAGGGACAGTCCAGTTGCTGCTGTTGAGTCTTGGCTGATGGCCCTTTGCTACTTCTTGTCTTCCTCCCACACATCCTTCCGTCCTCTGTGTCAGAGCTGGCCCTTGCTTTGCAGGAGACCCCGAAGGAACGAGCACGCCCGAGAGAGAGCAGGGGATGGACAGTCTTTCCTCTCTGGCCCCCTTCACACCCTCGAGGTCATCTGTTGACTGCAAAACCGGGGAGGTGGCAGAGAATGGCAGGCTGGTTGGTCCTGAGCAGTGGGAAGTAGTCTTCAGTTAAAGAAGACACTCCTCTCCCCAGGCAGCAATGCCTGGGACCTCCAACCAGAGAGTATGAAGAGGAGATGGAAGGCAATGCAAACACAATCTATAGAAGCTTCCTACTGTGGCTTTCATATGTTATAGCCACTGTGAAAGGATGCTTCCCAATGCACAGAGCTGGGGGAAAGAGGCTCCACTCATCTGATCTGAGGCCATGTCTGAGCACCTCCCTGCCCCCAGCCCCTCGCTTTAAGAACCTGCTATGTGTCACAGCTCTTCCTGGGCCCAGGGCTCTTGTGACCAGGGCCACCCTGTATGATGGTGTGGGTCATCCACTGTACAAGGGCAGCTGAGGGTTAAGGAGGGGCTGAAATCCAGCTGCACTTTGCTTGGCCAGCTGGGCTTCTGTGGGGTTGGGCCCATCAGAAGGATCCTGTTTTCTGCTCTGGATAAAGATGCACTATGGGCTGGCTGCACCATGCATTGGACTTTGAGTGATATTTGCTTCTGAATTTGGGCTGGCCCTATCAAAAAGCAGGCCTTTATGCAAGCTCTGTGGCTCCGGGTGGCCAAAGTACACGGTGCCTTGGCACAGCATAACCCCTATTTGCTACTTGCTACTCGCTACTCAAGTTCTGCATGACTCAGAATGAAGCTTCCATTAAAAGGAGCCGTGTGAAAAACAATGCCTCTGCTGGGAATCATAAGGCTCCTTCTGCACTCAAACTAGCATGGCTCTAGCAGCTTCTATGAACCATACTGAACTCCTTTCTAGGATCCCATGTCAAAGGGGGCCTCAGCGGCCTTCCACAGATAATCCCTCCATATCATGATACAGGAGTCTTAGAAAGAACAATTTGCTTTCTCCAAAGTTCCTCCTTTACCAAGAAAAGAAAGAGCACTGCATGGGAGAAATGTTGGACCCAGATTCAGTCTTGATAAGAAGTTAGCTGACTGAGATAATGAATGATCTGGATCAACATTTCCGGTCACCGGTTAGTCCTGAAGGGCAGCTGGCCTCACATCCCTGGTCCAAGGACTGCCCAGCTTCACTCCCTCATTTTCCCATGATGTGGATGGTCTTTCTTCATGTATTTCCCAGGACCATGAGAATGCTGTTGTGTTAGCCTTCCATTGGGTTTTATAGTTTACAGTATACAGAAGATGAAATATTCATGTAGACCTTCTTTCAAAGAAATCAAGCACTTTATGTATATTAGATCCAGAAAATGGCTATCAAATTGCAAGACATATTGGCTGACTGGTTAATTTTGTTTGATTAGAATACTGGGCTATGAAAACCACATTCTTGAGTTCCAGCCTCAAGTATTCTGAGAGCTGCTACTACTCTAGAGCTGTGGGTCATTTCCTCAAGCTCAGCCTCGTCTGGTTACCCCAAGTGGTGATATCCCAAGATTACACGCAGCATGGATGGATCAAAACAAGTCCATCTCTATTTCTGCTACTGGAAACAAAAAATCAGAATGCATGACCCTTTAGAGTCTTTACAGAAAAATAGCAGGCAATTTAGAAATGTTTTGGTTTGCAAGGTTGGGCTTTCTTTCATATAGATTCTAAAAATCTCAGGAGTTTGGGAGATTTTTCTCCTTCAGCTGGCCCTGAAAACATCTCCCTAAGTTCTCCCAGGTGCACACTTCAAATGCTTGGAAGGTGTCTGGTGCTTTCTCATTCCAAACACTTTGTTAACAGACCTTGGAGAACCACTGAACCAACACCACTTCTGGGAAGAAGGGACGTCAATAAATGCTCCTTGCGGAGCTTCACTGAGATCATGTTTGCTCTCCCAACACCCACTTCTCATGAAAAGCAGCCTGGAGAGATCTGGATGCCTCATCTGAGGACCAGGCTTCTTCTCACAGCCTCAGCCCACGTGGTCAACCTGAAGGGCCTGCCCGGGGTTGCAAGAGTTTTGCTTTCTCCATAATATACTCTGGGCTTGTCAACAAAACCCCTGAACATTCTCTACTTGCAGCCTCCAAGCCTCAGATGAGAGGGAGGAATGAGTTCCCACCACTCTCTATCAGCCGTCAGGGGCGGAGGGACTCCCACGGCCTTGCCTCCAATAGCCCATGGCAGCTTCTTGGTGCTTGAAGCTACGTGGCTGCGGCAAGCCAACCATGAAGACCGACAGGGGATCACAGGCCTGACATTCTGCAAGTTCTGATTTCTCATGAGGAAAGACCACAGAGAGAGAAGACCAAAGAAGAGATGGGATGAGCCCCCATATTTTAATTGCCATCTACTTGAGTTGCAGTGAAGCTGACATCTAGCAAATTAAAAAACTCTGTTTAAATTCAGTTAAGATTCATCTAGCTATGACAGGTAAACAACCAGGTTGCTGCCCACCCAGAATTCTTAGAATTTATGTTAAAAGGATAAAATAAAGATACTAATCACACAGTAGTAAGGTTTACAAGGACTGTCCCCTGCAACACAGGGAGGAAAAAGGCAAGTTAGCATCAGTGGGTTTCTACCCTTTGGGAAGGAACATTGGACAAATCCTATGCATGGGATCCTGGCTCCCTGGCTGCTCTCTGTTTCCAGGTGACCAGTGCGAGTTGGGCTGCAGGAACTCAGTAGCTGGTTTCAGGAAAGAAGGGGACTGGCTACTTCCCGTGTAACAAGCCCTATGCCTCAGTCTTACAGAGTATGTGTGCATGCTAAGTTGCTTTAGTCGTGTCTGACTCTTTGAGACCCTATGGACTGTAACCCACCAGGCTCCTCTGTCCATGGGATTCTCCAGGCAAGAATACTGGAGTGGGTTGCCATGACCTCCTCCAGGGGATCTTTCCGACCCAGGGATCGAACCTGCCAATGCCTCCTGCATTGGTAGGTGGGTTCTTTACCACTAGTGCCACCTGGGAAAGCCCAATCTTACAGAAAACATTATGGAAAAAGGAGACGGGTCTGTGTTTGTCTACAGACCACAGTTCAGAATCTGCACCGGGCACCACGGGGAAGACCTAACCACCACGGCCACGCCACCCCGTGGCTACTGCCCTATCACACTATGCAAAGGAGGCTAACATGGGGCTGTCAGGGACATGGGAACTCATGCAGAGGCCACCAACACACACACGCACGCACGCACGCACACGCACACACGCCAGCTGGACCTCACCGCCAGAACCCATGCAGCACGGCCGCCTCCTGCACACGCATAAGCCACCGGCGCAGCAGCAGCAGCTCACCTCCCGCACCCGCGAGGCTGCCAGAGTCCCAGGGGGAAATTTGGATTTTTTTTTTTGGATGAGCTACAGTTCTGAGCCAATTTATTTCATGGTCCAGCTACAGCCTTCTCCCTGGGCTGCTGCAGAAGGTGCATCCACCGAGCAGCCCCAAGGACGGGGGTGGGAGTGGTCCTTCCTTCTGGAAGCCCCTTGCACAGGAGAGCAAATGTCGGGCCAGGGGCTGGGTGGGGGGGCCGTGCACCCATCTGCAGGGGGAGCTGCTGGGCCTTTTGTCTTTTGCAAACTGGTCCCTAGGAGAGAAGCCACCGACACTCGCAGAAGACCACGGGTGGGTGTGCGGAGGGAAGAGCACTGGGCTCCCTCCCCTCCCGAAGGAAAGGAAAACCACCACCGAGAAAAACGGAAAGAAAGCCGAAAAACCAAAGAAAACCAGCTGAACTTACCACACTGCGAGTGAACTTTTCTAAGGAAGTTCTACGACCTTGCTCACTTTCTGGCTTTAGGGGAAAAAAAGATAGGGAGAAAAATACAGAAAAAAAAAAAATTCTTCAGATAACACATGGTTCCTAAACAGCAGCAGCGGCAGCTAATGAACCAAAACAAAAGCAAAACAGGGCAGAGAAAAAAAACAAAAACAAAACAAAAAACAGGAAGAGAGAAGCAGCCAGCGCTGTATGCAAGAGTCAGTGGGAGAGGCAGGAAACAGAAGCCCAGGAGAGATGGGGCTGCCTCCTCAGAGCAGCGAGGAGAGAGGGGTGTTTGCTTCTAGAAGAGTCATTCATCTTGTTTCCGGGCTGGGAGCTGGGCCCTTGGGAACAGTGGGGCCCTGCCTGATCACTGCTTTCAACCAGCCGAGCCCCTGTGCAGGGAACAATTGGGGGCCTCAACTGGGGATACAGTCCAGACCAGCTCCCAGGGCCAATGGGGTGTCGGGGGGATGCACTGAGATGTCAGGAAATGGCTGTGGGCAAGGCGAGGTCATCAAGTCCTCCGTGAGTCTGGGTTAGGACTTTCTCTGAGATCTTCCAGCCAGAAAGTTTGCTAACTTCCAGGACATCCTTGCAGCCCCCCAAGGACACTCCTTCTGTATCCTGAGATCAAGGAGGCTCTTTTTGCCCATGTCTTTTGCAACCACAGAGGTCTTGGGTCTCAGAAGGAGTATTCTGGACAGAAAATACTCTTCCAGTACCTGGGCAGGTGACCCCTTCCAAGGTTTACTCATAGCAGGTGGCAGGTGACAGGCAACTCAGGAGCCTCCTGGGGAGTCTTAGCTGAGGGCACCCCCTCCCTGCCACCCCCCAACCCCCACAATACACACAGAAGGAAGAGGGGCAAAGCCCTGTGTACTCCCCAGGCCAGGCAGCTCTCCTCTATGGGGGAGGAGGGGGTGTGGTGTGTACCTGAGCCTCTCCCCAAGTTTCCTTCTTTTCCAAGTGGGGAAGAATTACATCCCAAATACCTACTAGTTTATCCCAGAGCCCAGTTCCGGGGTCCTGAATCCATGCCTGGGAAATCTGGAGAGTACACACACTCACAGGGACACACTCACAGACACATACTCTTACACGGACACACATACTCAGACACACAGAACACACACTCGCATACACATACACTCACATGGACTCACATACTCACAGACACACACCCTCATATGCACACACCACACACTCACAGACACACACAGAGCAAATAATGGAAGTTAGAGAGCTGAAGAAGCAGCCAGGGGTCTGTGGGTCTGCAGGATGTGCTGGAAGCCGAGGGCAAAAGGCAGGCACTGTGTGTCACTGGGGACAAGATCAGACGGCTTTCTTGGCCGTCATGTCTTATCTCCTAGGTTGGCTGCTGAAGACAGAGAGGATACTGCAGGAGGAAAATGCAACACAGATGACACGCAGCCGCAGAGCCAGGCTGGTCTTTGTCCTTCAGATGCAGCACTGAAGGACATGTGCTGGGCTTGGCACCATAGCCAGTCTGCACTTGGGGATGGCAGCACTCAGCTTCAATCCAGTGGGCAACCTGGGGGCCATCCATGTGGCTCAAGTCAGGTCGGTCCTAGGTCCCACAGCTGGAATTCTGTGCCTATCCTTCCCATCCCCTGGCTATCGAGTGACCACTCACACAGGGACCATCAGCCTGACTCATGTGGCTTCCTCTGCCTTGCACAGGCCCTTGGAGACGCCCCGTCCTGGATATGCTTATTCCCTTCGTCGTGTCTGACTCTTGAAGACCCCATGGACTATAGCCCACCAGGCTCCTCTGTCCATGGGAGTCTCCAGGCAAGAATACTGGAGTGGGATGCCATTTCCTCTCCAGGGGATCTTCCCACCCCAGGGATTGAACCCGGGTCTCCCTCGCTGTGGGTGGATTCTTTACTGTCTGAGCCACCAGGGGAGCTGAAGGGGTCCTGGGGGGCCCTCAAAGTGTCCTGGGGGGACCTCAAAGTGTCCTGGGGGGGTCCTCAAAGTGTCCTGGAGGAGTCCTCAAAGTGTCCTGGGGGGACCCTCAAAGTGTCCTGGGGGGCCCTCAAAGTGTCCTGGAGGGGTCCTCAAAGTGTCCTGGGGGGTCCTCAAAGTGTCCTGGAGGGGTCCTAAAAGTGTCCTGGGGGGGACCCCCAAAGTGTCCTGGGGGGGCCCTCAAAGTGTCCTGGGGGGCCCTCAAAGTGTCCTGGGGGGGCCCTCAAAGTGTCCTGGGGGGGCCCTCAAAGTGTCCTGGAGGGGCCCTCAAAGTGTCCTGGAGGTGTCCTCAAAGTGTCCTGGGGGGTCCTCAAAGTGTCCTGGGGGGGTCCTCAAAGTGTCCTGGGGGGCCCTCAAAGTGTCCTGGAAGGGTCCTCCAAGCCCAGCTCACCTGCCCCTGAGGACCTGGCTCATCAGAATGACTAAGATACTTGAATAGAGAATGGATTACAGAGGAAGGATTGGCAGGCTGTGCCCCCACAGTGCATCATGGGACTTTGTGAGCAGAAAAGTGAAGCTGCTTTACAGCCCGCCTCTTAGCTGGGACTATGGCTCACATCCCATCATGACCTGGACATGTAGCTCTCATGGTGGGCCCACCCCTGGCAACCGAAGACACTTTGGGTCTACCTGAAAGTGCCGAGTTACAACTCCAGTCCATGCCTGGAGCTCAGGGGAAACAGAAGAAAAGGTAGGCTTGTCACTGATTTTAGGAACAACTACCCCCTGAATATTGAAAGGGCATTGGCTCTGGAAAGAGCTTTCGACCCCCAAGGACACCCCTTGAGAGGGCTGGGATGAAAATTCTAATAAATTTCATTGGTGACGTGTCACAGGCAGGCCATCTGTTCCTGCTTCACTTGAGTGAGCTCTTCCCTGAAGCTTTTCTTGTACAGGAGGACTTGAGGCCACAGGAACCTCAGTCCCACTCCTTGAGCAGGGGTGCGTTTTCTCTTTGCACTCAGACTCACAAGGAGACTAAATGGCCTCTGGCTTCTTCTGTGTGTGTGGACACATATGTGGACAGGCCCAGGTGACCCCAACTGTGGGAGCCCATGATTTCCCCACATTGGGATTGGTTCAGGGTCTTGAGCTGCAGGAAATAAGGAACGCTCACTTTGACCTTCTCCCCTGAGGTCTGGGCTGCCGATACTAAAAGTCTTCACATTTTTTGAAAAACTGGGTATCAGAACCATTATTTGGGGGGATGTCAGCCCACTCCATCAGGGCCCCTCCACCTCCACCCTCCTGCCAGGGAGCTGGCTGGAGGCTGGGCTTCACGTTTCCCATCATAGGAGTGACACATGATGAGAAAGGGTGCAAGCCAAGAAAGCTGGGTCTCGGACATTCTGGGTGCCCCCCAAATCTACTTCTCTTTCTAAGACTCTCAGGGATGTCTTCAGGGCTACCCAAGGGCAGGTGAGCAGGAGAGAACTGCTCTCCTAGTCAGTTCTAGTCTAGGGAGTGACATGGTTACCAGCCAGGCACACAGTTGGGCTCCCAGGCCATGAGGTCACAGCACACAGAAAGAGGGGCAGCCGGACAGAGAGGGTGTCGCTGGACAACCGCAGGCTAGGGGACTGCCACCGGGAGGCTGAGAGGCAGAAGAAAGGGATGCGCATGGTCTTAAGCAGCGAGGCACGCGAGTCCTGGAGTTTGGGGCGAGGAGAGCCACACTGAACCCCTCGTGGACCTCAGATCAGACCCGCAAAGCGCAGTGTTCGCTGGCATACTGGGACCATGAGCCAGCCCCCTACCTCCCCCTTCCCTCACCCCCTCCTTCCAGCTCTGCCTTCCCTCTTCCCGGAAATCCAGCCACATTCATTCTTGTTCCAGTCACCCCTCACCGCCTGCATGCTGGGGGGTCCCTGAACCCCCAAATATAGACCCCGAGGGCTGCAGGGAACCAAGACTTCATTCAGAGTGGAGGGCGGGGAGGGAGGAGCTAGGATGCCATTTCTTCTTGGTTAAAAGAAAAGGCAAATGCTCTGGGGCAGGTGGCAGATGGGAGAGAGGAAAGGGCAACAACCCCGGGCAGGATTTCCGGTGCCCCATCGCCCCGGAAGAACTCTAAGCCTTTCTATGCAGAGGGGGCTGCTGCAATCCTTGCCTTACACTCATCTCTGCACGCTGATCGGGGCAGGAAATTCTGTGGGAGGGGGCTGGACCCGCCAGTGGTTCCCTCAGGGCTTCGCTGATGTCACAGCCAGCCCTCTGCTCCTGGGCTGAGCCCCAGGGGCCTCTTAGGTGGTCACTCCCTCCACTGTGGGCAGACAGGAAGATGGAGATGCTGAGTACCAGGAGACAGGAGGCCACACCCTGGATCTCAGCGGGGTGGGGTGGCAACAATCCTAATTGTCTTCTACTGGAGTGGAAGCAGGGACAGAAGGGGAAAAAGAAGAAAGAAAAGAAAGAAAACCCAAGGGATGGTATTCTCACGTCACACCAGCAGCAAGCAGCAGGCAAAGGTCAATAGTGCTAAGAAAGGCAAGGCCGCCCTTCCCAGGGATACCTTCTTCTTGGCCAGCAGCAAGTCCTGGTAAGCATTGGACCGGAGGAAGCGGGCGTAGCTGTCACTCTTCATCAGCTTGTAGATGTGCTCCTGGGGAGGCAGGAGATGGGAAAACACAAGAAAGAACTGTCACCCAACACTAAAGGGAATGGCAACCCAACTGGCCACTGTGTTAGGAAAGAAACAAACAAGCCAAACTCTGCTGGTATGAACCTGGAAAAAGAGATAACATGTTTGCTTTGTTGTTGTTGTTTTCTCCCCCACTCAGAAAACATTAACTAAAACCTATTTTCTTCCTCAGCGTAAAAAGATCCTTGAAGATCATGTCCCAGAAGCTTTGTAATTGGCCCTTGGTGCCATGTTGAGATGCACTATTGCTTAATGATTAAAACCACAGGCACAGAGATAAGAAGGAAGAAACTACCGATGGTTCCAACCACTTGGATGAATCCCAAAGGAATTATCATGAATGAAAAAAAAAAAAGCCCCAGAAGGTTTACATACTATATGATTCCATTGATGTGACATTCTCGAAATGACATATTGTAGAAACAGACAACAGATAAGTGGTTGCCAGATTTCAGGGATGGGAGAGGGGCAAGGAGGGGAGAGAGGTGTGGTTATAACAGACAATTGGAAGGGTTCTTTGGTGAAAGGCTAGTTCTGTATCTTGACACATCTTACACATGGGATAGAGTTGTATAGAACCTCACACACACACACACACACACACACACACACACGTACATATGAGTACAAGCAAAATTGGGAAATCTGATAAACTCAGGGGATATAGCAATGTCAACATCATGGCCGTGATACTGTACTATAGTTTTTGCAGATGTTACTGTTAGGAGAAGCTGGGTAAATGGTATGTCTCTATAGTATTTCTTATAAGTGCGTGTGAATCTAAAAGTATCTCAAAAAGATTAACTAAAAAAGTAGTCCACAGGCAATGATGCAATTGGGTTAGTTAATGCACATCAGGGCCACCACCCCATCCTGGAAGAGTACTCTTAGAGCCAGATCATGGGGTCTTGTGGGCAAATATGCCAGAGGCTGGGGCATGGTGCCCTCCTGAGCTCCTAGATCCATTACATTCTGGCCATGGCAATGGATTTTACCCTTGACTTTCAGCTAATTCCTGTAGCCTTGTGATCCCTTTCTAATAGGTCTGTCCTCATTAAGGACAGGGAAAGCCAGGTTCATTACAAGAGGGAGCTTATCGATTGAAAAAGCGTTATTTATCAGTTGAAATGTAAGGTAGCACAGCTACACGGAAAAGCCTGGTTGTCCCAAGAGAGGACCTGTTAAAAGGAGGGTGGGCTTTCCCTAGGGAGGGTGGGATCATTGGGTGGGGAAGCATCTTCTCTGATGTATGCTCCTTGTCCATCCTGTGAATCTGGATAAGGGCCCCAGGACTTGGAGGAATGGAGAGCTGGGCAGTGGAGAGGATGCTCAGTGGAGAGGCTGGACTGGTCATTAAGGACCTCTTCCTCGGGTATTCTCCCAGGGGATGGGTGAGGTAGAGACCTTTCCTCAGTTGGGGACACCCTGTAGAGGTACCTGGCCATTTTAGAGATGATGGTGCATCCCAGAGGAAGCTGGGTTACATCAAGGGCTTGCTAAGACTCTCTCCCTACCCATCTCCAAAGAAAGTGAAGGCATGGACTTCCCTGATGGTCCAGTGGTTAAGAATCCACCTGCCAATACAGGGGACACTGGTTTGATCCGGGAAGACTCCACACACTGCAGGGCAAGTAAGCCTTTGCACCACAACTACTGAAGCCCACACAACAGAGGGTACTGTGCTCTGCAGTGAAAGAAGCCACCCCAAGAGAATCCAGCCTATCTCAACTACAGAGAACTCCCCGCTCACAATTAGGGAAAGCCCACGTGCAGCAAATAAGACCCAGTGCAGCCAAAAAAAGAAAAAAAGAAAAAAAAGCAGAGGCAGAAAGCAACCATCAACTTGGTGCCATGTAGGTCCCTCTCTGGCCATCTTAAGAGGGACCACATGTGGACTTGTTTGGGCACCAGCTTCATTCTTGTGCAGATGATCCCATATTTACAAAAGCAGGGTGCAGCACTCCTCATGGGAATGGGACCACTGCAAGGAGCCAAGAGAAACGAAGCACTGGCTTCGATCTGAATCTACTTTGATGATCCAGATATGTTCTGAGTTAATAAGCTTTGTGAGAACACATGTTGCTGAGTGTTTTTCTGCAAATTTCAGACAAAAATCCAGCCCACTCTAGTTGAAGTTTCTTGTGGGAACAATGTGTTTTTAATCTCTTATATGTGCATAGCATCCAGTGTGGGGTTAAATGTTAGCGGAATTTATGCAGCTTTTTGGTTCACCAAAACGCTGGTCTGAGCTTGCCGATATCGAGCAAGTTTACAGGCTCCATACTTGTTTTGGTTTATGATCAGTTTCTGCTCTCTGTATGGAAGGAGACAGAGGAACTCATTCAACTCAGAGGAAGTCCCTATGTGGGCATCTTGATTCAGCCCTAATTGTCTCAGAGCCCAGACTGAGAGACATCAGGGTCTTTGCATTTGTTGTCTCTTCAAAGTGGCCTAACATTTACATCTAAGGTACGAATGGAGAAGACTCTGGAGAGTCCCTTGGGCTGCAATGAGGTCAAACCAGTCAATCCTAAAGGAAATCAACCCTGAATATTCATTGGAAGGACTGATGCTGAAGCTCCAATACTTTGGCCACCTGATGGAAAGAGCTGATTCATTACAAAAGACCCTGATGCTAGGAAGATTGAGGACAAGAGGAGAAGGGGGTGACAGAGGATGAGATGGTTGGATGGCATCATTGACTCAATAGACATCAGTTGGAGCAAACTCCTGGAGATGGTGAAGGACAGGGAAGTCTGGGGTGCTGCAGTCCATTGGCTCCTGGAGTGGAACACAACTGGGCGACTGAACAACAAGATACAAATGCTAACTCAGAGCAAAATGGCCCACTGGCTCCTTCTTGTCTCAGGCATGGCTTCTGTCTGGCCAGCAGAACCAGGTGGCTCCTGAGTCATCTGGAGAGGCCTGTCCCTCAGGCCTGGACCTTCTCCAAAACCCTCTCCAAGGCCACAGCCCCCTGCTTGTTGCTCTGACTTGTCAGAAGAATCTAAATGCCCAGGCATATCTCACAAAATACCCGCTTCTGCCCCAAGAGGAGTAAGGAAACCTCTCCTAGCCCAACCCTTCTGGCCTTGAGAACAAATTTCACCCCCAATCCAGCTAATTCTTCCAACTCATCATAGGCAAGAAAAGCCATTGAAAGAAAGAATTTGTCAATTGAGAAAGAACAGGATAAAACAGATGACTCAGTATTTGTTCCCCAAAATATTTTTTGAGCATTTCCTAGGTGCCAGGCATTGTGTCAGGCATTGAGATCACAGCATGACCGAGACAAAAGAGGTCCTCTCTGCCATAAAACTTAAGATTTCATTGCACAAGGGTGTGCATGACTAATTGAGCTAAGGGCTACAAGGAAGAAGTTCAGGTTCAAGGTGCTGTGAATGGGTAAAATTGAAGATGAACTCCCCTGCCAGAGGTGGGGAATGCTGGTCCAACAACCAGAAAGAGCCTCGTCATGGCAGGAAGAGCTAGGAGACAGGAAGTGTCTCCCGGTTCCTGGTCTGGTCAACCAGAGAAAGGAGGATGATGATGCTGAGGAGGAAGGCACAGCAGATAGTGGTCCCCTCTTTGGGGGTGAGGGTCAACGTGGGTCAGAGGAACAGTTCTGGCTCTGCTCTTGTCCTAATGTCACATGGCATCTTGACAATTTGTTGCCAAGGCCAGGGCCAAGGCAGGGACCGTGTGGGGAGACAGTAAAGAGAACACGACCTGTTGGAGGTGGGCTGCACAAGATGATCTCACTCTGCCAACCCTATTGCTAGCTCTTGGCCATCACGATGACCATCTCAGATTGCCCAGTGAGGGAACAACCACAAAACAACAGCAGGTGGAAGTCATGGTCTGAGCAAAATGGAATCAAAGACGCAGATCCCTCATGCGCCCTACTGGCTTCAGGCCCCTCTGGCCTGGGCCTCCTTCCCCGCAGTCTATGGATCCAGGACTCTCCTCTGCCCTCCTCTCCTCCCCCAAGCAAAGAAGTGGAGAAGCAGAGCCTTTGCTGTACCCACTTATGGAATTCTGTTCCTTCCTCCTCGCCAGCTTTTTCTAAGAAACACAAAGACAGTAAACAGGGGGTGGGGGAACGGAGTGCTGAGGTTTTTTTTTCTGGGAATGAGAACTAAGATAGGACTCAGGGTCTTTGGCCGGTTCCCAGATGCAATGAGTTTATCACTGCCAGGGACAGCAAGTGTACAAAGCTCTTGGCAGTGACCCCGACTGATTTATGAGGGGTTCTGGTTTGTTTCCCCTGCTTTGCAGACAACCAGTCTTAAGGAAAATGTATATCCAGGATCTGCTAAGAGCAGGGGAGCTGCTGGAAAAACCAGTGAGCCCCCACCCAGAGAATTCCCAAGGGGCCGGAGAGAGAGAAGTGTGCATTTCTCTTCTTTGCTTTTTCTTATCTTATTTTCCTCCCTTCCTCCTTCCCTCCTCCCCTTCCTCTCTGCCCCTTTATTTCTCCTTCCTTTCTTCCTTCTTCCCTCCCTAGACCCCTCCCTCCCTCGTTCCCTCTCTCTCTAAAAAAAGAGATGATTGAGTTAACCATGAACAAGCAGAACTACCAGGGTCCACATCCGCCTTCCTGCCATGTGGGGAGGCTCCTGCTCCAGACAGGGAGAGGCTCAGTCTCACTGGTGGAGAAACTGACGCTCTAAGGCCCTAAGTCAGGCCGAACATCTCAGCCCCAATTCTCAGTGCGGGTGGGGATCACACCCTTGTGGTGGGTGACAATGCTAGGACAGGGCTATCACCCTGATGAGATCCTCTACCCTCATTTCCCTTCTTGGGCTTGGCCCTGGGACAGGAGCTTTGCATACCTGAGATGCTAAGGCAGAAGCAAAACCAACTAGAACTATGGGCAACATTTTATAAAACCTTTAAAGGGAGTATACTCTATAAAAACGTTGAATCGCTATGTTGTACACCTGAAACTAATATAATCT